TAACCCTGCAGGCTCGTATGACCGGCTATAACTGCGGCTCGGGAACTGGAGGTACACATCTGCGAATGCGGACGATGTGGCGCTCTGGGCCACGGAGAGAGAACTGGACCGCCGAGCGTCGATCACAGTGGCACAGCTCCGCGTGAGCTGCTCCCCACTCACCGGAGACACCCGATTCCGAATTGGTCCGGCCGAGTCTGACGAGAAAGTCCGTTGCGACGAACCGGACTCGGCCAAACACCTGTTGGTCGACTACCCCGCCTACCAGGGGCCACGGACCCGCCCGTGGGGCCCTTTGCCGACGCTGAGGGAGATCCTTTCCACCGAGGCTGGACTCATCCGGGACTTCCTGGTGGAGACGGGCCAGGTCACACGAGATGACATGCTGAAGAAGAAGAAGAAGAAGAAGCACCGCCCAGAGGATGCCACGGAGTCGGTGTTTTCAGAAGACGAATCTGAGTCACTTGCCGTCTCCGCCTCCACCCCGCCCGCTTCTCAAAATCGGGCAGCTTCTTCTTTAGTTTCAGAAGCCATGCTCGATTTAATTCATTGAGCACAATAAAAAGAATAATTGGACACTCTAAGGACATGCTTTTTTGCAACAATCAGCCTTAGAAGCGCTCAAAAGCATCATTTTCAGCGGTAGTTATTTTGCATTATTACCTCCTACAATACTTGGTGTTACTCGCAGTGCTGGGTGACGCTCAGCATTAGAGACTGCAACGCCGGGCGCCAAAACTTTGAACGGCTGGCGCCGCACGAATTTTAATTTCGGTGGACTCGGATATGGATGAAAATTCATTATTGATCAATGTGCCAAGGAAAAACCTTACGGCGTTTGATTCTGCGAGAATCACCCCCTCGATGACACACCCTATAATAGTCATGTACCTGACAATGCGACTGGATGATGGCAAACACGCGTGTGAGGAATGATAGCAATCGCAGTAAACAGGCGGGGCGTTCACCCACGCAGGGCGACCCTCCGATCGACGGGAACGCAACAAGACAGATGAGTTGCTCTCGTGATGGGCGTCACCGGTACACCCAGAGTTAGATACGATCTCTCGGGTTTGTGTCACGTTCCGACAGTCCATCCACAGTCCACCGGCGTCCACCATCGTCCACATGCCGCCCACCGTCGCCCCCGGACGGCGGCCACCGCCGCTCCCACAGGAACGGGCACGGACCGTTCGCCGTGCCCATCATCACGGAGGCGGAACAATGAGTCCGTGGTGGCCACGGTCACCTGTAGACCGCACGAGCTCTCAATAATCAAACGGCTCTGTCGTAGCCCATTAGCCGTTTGCTGAGATATAACAGAGTCAAAGAGCAGCAGAGTTCGAGTTCATCTGCTGAAAATCAGCTTTAATTGAGTAAATCCATAATGAGTGGTCAAATGCATGACCTGACGCCAGCCAGTAATTTAAAGTGGAATATCTGGAATTCAACAGCCATTCAACGGACAAGTCACAGTATTTCACAGCAAAACTTTGAATGCATTGAATGCTTTGAATTCACATACCTAAATCTGTTTGATAGTTGATAAAACTCATTGGCTTACGACTGTCAATCCAATAATGCTGACAGCCTAGAGGACAAGGCATACTCAGGACATTATGCCTGCCGCAGAAGTTTCAAATAATTGTACAAATTCCACACAATCCCAGATACAAACACATCCGTCCTGTTCAAAATGGATGTAAGCTGCGTCCCAAGAGTCCCAAGCTGTCCATCGCAGTTCATTACCAGCCACTGTATAACACTCGGGGTGTCCTACTGCGCCGACTGGGAACAGGACTAATCCAGCTATTGTGGAGACCCATTGTGATGCTGCACTTCCCGGTAACATCCCGTCACATTCAGTGACAACCAGTGACGTATGTAACGTGACGTGAGGACTGTGACGTGACGTTGATGGACGTCACTAAATGCCAACGTGGCGGGAGACGATGCCTTCCCGTCGGTGTTTGGGGTGGACGTCCCGGTATGGGTGCCGAGAATGTGACAGCCCCGGCGCGTCAGGATGGTGGAACGGACTGGAGACGTGAGTTGGATCTGTGAGGACTGGAGGTTCCCGTCAGGGAAGGGTGAAGTCTCAAGCAGGACAGGTAACAAACGGTGTCATGCATTGCGTCCGGAACGCCGGCCCTCTGCGGGTTTGGGACGAGGATCAGATACCGGAACCAAACCGGCCCTCCAGGCTCAGCAGGCTCAGCACACCAGTCGCGCACCATCACCCTCGCAGCTTGGTCCGCCAAATTCGGCTCGTCCCCCGGCGTCAGCCACCGGAGTCGAACTCCCATCAGTCAGTGACCCGGGCCGCCCGTCGACATTCCGTCGATCAGGATCCCCGGCGCGCTCCGACCGGCGCCGCGCGGTCAGGGGCGCAGCCACGTGCGGAACTGATCCCGTCGACAGCCATGAATAACGCCATTACATCCATTACATTAAACTGCATTTGATTCCGACACCATCACGATTGTAACTTTTCCACCGACGACGTGAGCCGCGTCGGTTAGCGCCACTGGTCGGCGGTGACCCTGACCGGTCTGACCGCCGGTCATGTGACCGGACCCGCCCGCAGCAGCACTCTCCAGTGGCATGGTGACCGAAATGCAGGGGAAAGCGAGTGACCGGTACCGGCTGGGTAGCACCCGACCCCGCGGAATGCGCTGAAAGTCCATTGTCCGCCGTGATGACTTTGTTGATAAGTTCAGACAATAGGGGAGAGGTTTGAGCTTGGTGACCGTGATACTCAGTCTCGATAACACACGCAGAGGTGGTAAATTGTAGCAACACACACAGCTGGTGACAATGACAAGCCATTGAAAACAAATGCATTATGTAATGTGACTGAATGAACTTACAGTCTGCACTCAACCATGCTAGACAGAATGCATGTTTTCAAATCATGCCACATAAGCACAAAGGCCAAAACCACTGAACTTGAAGCGGCAGAATGTTTCTTCTAGAGATTTAAGAATGTCAGCAGAGAAAGTCGACGATTTATTCAGTTGGCGCATCACACTGCACCTCTCTTCATCGATTCCCATCAATCCTCTGGCGCACGGGCATCTGCCGTCGCCGACTCATGAACCCGCCCCGTCCGGCTCTCTGCTTTGGCACGGCGGCATGACAGGTACGGCGGCCGCTCGGTGAGCCGGGGCGAGCCGCCCAGCGACCGACCGGGCCGCCGACGCGCCGGGGTCAACGGTCGACGGGATGCCGCCGCCGCCGGCCCCACAGCCGGCTCAGCCGAGTCGACCCGCCCGGGCGGGGTGGGGTGGGCGCGCGCCTGACCCGCCGCCGCCTGAAGTTACAGCGACGGCTCAGGCTCGGACGGCTTTCCATACATAGACCGTCATGTAGTGGTGGAAGGCTAACAGGCTGGCTTGCATTGTTGTATGATGTAGGCTGCATTGCTGTATGCAGCTTACAGTTCATAGTATATGCGGAATTTAAAAGCTTCCAAGGTCACATGGGAGCCACTCGTACCGGAATCCACTCGAAATCTACCACCACCGAGCGGTGACATCACCCTCCGACTGTTTAGCTAGCCTCCTCCCAACTCAATAGAACCTACCATCTCAGAATTCTAGAAGTTCAGGAGGGTCTCGCAGCACCGTGCGAAGAAAAGACATCCCGGTATCCTCCAGTTTCTACTTCCCTATTTCCCCGGTCCAACACCATCATCTCCCGGTAGCTCCTTTCAGTCCCAGGAACGGGACCGGTACGCGACATCCGGAACGGTCCCGGAACACCCGGTACGGGGCCGGCGTGCAGCCCGGCACCGGTCTGAATATATCGGTCCCAGGCGGCGCAGCCGGCCGTGGAGAGACAGGCACGCGGCGCCCGCGGACCGATGAGCACGGTACGGTGCCAACGGTACAGGACCGCCACGAGGCACGGCACATAGCAGCTTATCATACAACACGCCTAGCTGAGGGGAGATAGCGAGGCAGTGCGCATGATGAAGATATACCGATAGGAAGCATCAAGGATCAGGCAAAGAAATTTGGACAGCTGGCAATGATACACAGAGCCGAATGATTGAATGAAGAATGAATTGTTTATTGTATTCAAGTAGAGCCATTCAGGGGATAGTTGATAGAAAACAGCCAGCCTCATTTGATGGTGATGCTGATAGAAAGCAGGCGCCCGCAGCCCCGCCGCCGGTGCCGTGTGGTACGACCGTACTTCCGGCCCAGTCCGCCGGCGGCGGTCGCTCGCAGGCCGGCGGGTTCCCATCGCACCGCCACGGTCGCTCGCTCCGGCGGTAGGTACCGTTGGATCTTCCGACCTTCGGTGGCGGTCGACCAAAGCCCGTCGTCAGTCGGCCCGGCAAACGAGGCTTCAGAAGAGAGTTGATGTCGAATGGGCATGCTTCATAAGCCACTTTTTAGAGTAAGAGCGTGATCTCATTCGTGCAGGTGATCGGGACGATCTAATCCCACACCCGCGGAGTGCCGTTTAAGAACTGTTCGGGTGGGACCGGGACCGGTCAGGTCATGCGCTTGGATACCGGGATAACATCTCCTACGGCACCGCCCCGCACCGGAAGACCGTCTATCACTGGTCGGGGGCGGTCCGGTCTGAACAGGTGGACGGGCCGGGAGAGGGCGGTAGATGCCGCCCTCCGCCCACGACCGACCCGGGGCGGACCACACCACCGACACGACCCGACTGGACCGCCTTAGAGGACGTCCGTGTAATTAGACACCGCCAACTGGGACAGAGGCCGGTCATTACTGCTCAGAATATTAATTACCCGGTGTTTACCCAGTAAAATGGAAAACTGACGTTACACGAAGCTGTCATGATAGCGATCTAAGAAAATTCAATGAATAATAATGGCTGCTTATACATGTTAGCAGGCAGTATAACTATGGACGACTCGCATATGCCTGAAATGCACGTCACTTATGTGTATCCCAGCTAGCCCTCTACGCAGAATCCCCTTTTCTTGCCCACCACTGACCGCACGCCATCCGTTGCAGGTCGGACACGATGCTGGACCGGAGGAAGACGGTGCCGCCGGGAACATCCCGGTGTCGGCTGGCCCTGCTGACCGCGCTGCTGTCTCTCTGCGCCTCACCGGCACTCGGCCAGCAGGTGCCGTGCCGCGGCCTCTCCGAACCCATCGATATTCCCTGCCTGTGCGCCGCCAACGCCGAAAACGGCACCGACATCGTCTGCGACAACGTGGTGTTCGGCGGCGACTTTCCGCTGCTGCCGTTCCGCGCCGCCATCCACAGCTTCAGCCAGCGCAACGTGGGCCACCAGCGGCTGCCGGCGCAGCTCTTCACGGCAGCCAACATCCCGCTGCGCAAGCTGGACTTCTCGAGGAACGTACTGAACCAGCTGACCGGCCGGCTTCTGGACGGACTCGAAGACACACTCGAGGAGGTCTACCTCGGCTACAACCAGCTCGGCGATCAGCTCAACCCCATCTTCTCCACGGGCGAGTTCCGCGGTCTGAAGCGGCTCAAGATTCTGGACCTGCGCAGCAACGGCATCAAGGCGCTGGACGGCGGGATCCTGGACGGATGCGACGAACTGCAGGTGAGGATCATCTGGTGGTCCTCGAGGGTGACCGCAGGGCAGGTGAAAGGTCCGGCACAGAGAGGTGCTGACTGTGTCTCACAGGCACAGCTGCCCGCTGTGCAGTGGGCTCATTTTGGCTGTAGATGTTGACTACACGGTCGTTGCTGCTCCTTACGCCGTGCATGCAAGCTCATTATTTACGTGCTGTGCTCATTAAGCATAGATCCCCACAGGAAGTCAGCAACAAAACGCAAACACCAGAGCCCAGCTTTTTGTTGTCGACTCATAAGCTGTCGACGTTTTGGCAGGCATGCAGGGAGATAATTAATTCAGGCCTGGGCAGTGCGCTGGTATTTTGCATCAGGAAAAGTACGTATTTCACACGCCATTAGACTTGCCAAACTGAGAGCCAACTGAGAGCGTGTGGCATATTGAGAAAATTGGGTGACAACATGGTTTACGTACGTTGGAGCTAATCCTTTTGGTCGCCTCTTTTTAATTATAATGCTAATAAGTAGCTGTTAAGATTGTAATTGCTGTTCCGAAGTAATTTAAACAATCACCGCATGGGCGATTTGACCTACAACTAATAAGAGCAACAAAAAAAAACTGTCATGAGCGTAATTACATATGTTGGGAGTTGGGACCCATTGGCCATTAAGTCCAAATCGGGCTGCTGAAACTTCATCAGAGCCTGGGAACTGGGGCTATGGCTACCGGAACAAGACATGAAGCCCGTGTTACGGCCAGAGCAATGCCCGTTGCAAAACCATACTGTAGCCAAATTTTTCAATTTCCTGTATTGCTTTTTAATGACAAAATGACGTGCTAAGTGTCAGCCACTATATCCAACGCTACTTTGCTCGACTCAAAATTAGCCTCATCTTATCAATTGCACCGCCAAGCGAAAGTGTGTTGGACAAATCAAGTCCAGCAAGGTCATATCACTAAAAAGAAACCTCCGGCAAATTACGCATTTGCCCTTGGCTGCCTGTGCAGAGCGCCAGAGCGTGACAGGGTCAGAGCGAGGCGGGGCCACATTCTTGCTCTGACGGCATGTTGACAGGCGTAGTGGCGCACATTGTTGACGGATGTGTTGACGGGTGCGCTGATAGCACAGCTGACAGGGGCTAACGTGACTGGCGGCAGAGTGAGGAGAGGGACCCGCCCGATCTCATTGTCCGCCTCACCAGCTGGTCACGCGAGGCTCATCTGACTCTCCCGGAAGCGCTGTCCCGCGGGTACGCCCAATGCCCATTGCCCAGTGATCGCCCGTATACCCACAACACGGGTTATACAGCCGGGTCCAGAGCCTGCAGGTTCTCTCGCTCCCACTGATGGGACCAGAAATATTCCGGCATCGCGGAGAAATCGCCGAAGTTGCTGGTGCCTTTTACACATGCCTACTGGTTAGCAACATTACATTCTCTTGCCAGGCGGCGGCATGGAAAGCATAACTCATAATAAACATTATGCAGATGACGGATATCGCACAACTCCTTGCATAATTCCATTGCCATCCGGTATTTCTCAATTAGGTACACGACTGCGCTGCACAGTCAGTGGTTGCCCAACAGTCATGAACTGGCGGTGGTCGTTCTCACCCCGTCGCTCTAACCTCACTGAAAGGTCACCGTCGGCGGCCGGCACAAAAAGTCAGCCGAGCGAGCTGCAGTGCCGGTCAGCTCAGAGCCGCCGTGGATCGGGTCAAACCGGGCCGGGTCGGGGGCTGGTCGGAGTGACCTGCACTACGGGCCAGGTCACCATATCTGCATAATCTTTAAACACTACCACGGGCCGGCCAGGAACCAGAAACATCGAACCGGGAACCATCCGACCAACACCACGAGCTATGCAGTTAAAAACCGGATTTTTCAGAAGGTTTATCAATGGCGCGAGCGGCCAGCGATGATACGAGCGAACATAAGACGGCATAGTTTAAGCCAAGGACCTGGGTAAATGAAGGCTGGGGCTCAGGATTGCTAGAGCTTGGCTGATTAGATTGATCGATCACCAACTTCTTTGGTGTAAGTAGTAGATATGCATATTTTGGATAAGTGCGTCCATAAGCAAGTCATGTTATAGGTATTCAGCCGTCAGCTTAACCCGCGCCCTGGTGGGGTCTGTTTATAACGCAACCTGGTGGGGGGGGGGGGCTATTTTTTGCCCCCCTCGTATCTCCGAAACTACTGGACGGATCCGCAAAAATCAAACGGCGTTCGAAAGGCCTATCAAATTTGTCGAGGGAAACCAAATTTCATTGACCTCGGGGTCACCGATGACGTCACATGTCAGGTCAAAGATGAAATGTTTCACCGTTCACGGGTCTGCTAGGGAATGCGCTATAACACCGAGGAAAACGCATTTTGTCGATAATCAGCGATAGGGCGTCAGCTGCCTAGTAGATATGTTGCTATTAGAGGTCACTGACAATACCAGGTCAGGTCACAGGTCAGGTCACCAAGGGTCACAGGTCAGGTCACATGAGCCCAACTTTACTAAGGTTGTGTGATGCATGTTTTATGGCCAATTTTTCATTTCCAACACAATGGTGTTGGTTATAAGACTATCAGGTACGGCTTAGGTCACTTTCTGGTGAAGTTCAGGTCAAGGTCAGGTCAAGGTCAGGCCAAAAAAGGTCAAATTTTAAAGTTGATAGTTTTGCATAAAATGGGTATTGATTCGATGCAGCTCGTCACGGGGAGTCTAATGGTGGTCTTTGTTTTGCGCTACGGGGTCTAGAATTGCTAAAAATTGAGTTTGAAAATTTGACGTCATCAATTTTGAACAGTTTTTATCGCTATAACTTCGCCAAAAAAAAGAGGTATCAATCTCAAATTTGGTATGTCGATGGAAGGCGGTAAGGACTATCACATATATTCCGGTTTTTGCGAAATTCAAAAAACTTTATGGATTTTTCGATTATTATATCCAAAAAAATTATGTTTTGATTTTTTGGGGGTCCAAATCCAAAAATTTCAAAAATCCGAGATAGCAGTTTTGTAGCCCTGTTGATTCTACAGCTTTTATCTTTTTATCATTTTTCTGTATTTGTAAAGCTATAGGCCTGACAGCTCTTCCCGCGAAACCCTTTTTTGGGACGAAAACGGCAGAACATGACGTCACTCTGACGTCATTTCCGGCCAACCTATCATAGCCTTTGGAAAAATTTTTGGTCACAATGTGTCAAATTGATGTCCGGGAGGGTACTGAAAGTTTGGTGACGATCGGCGCAGCGGTTCTGGAGATATATCGAAAAGTCTGGAGGGGGGGGGGGCAAAAAATAGCCCCCCCCCCACCAGGTCGCGGGTTAAGTGACAAAACCCTATGGCCATTGAAAGCTACCCATAGCCCAGTGACCACTATCCGCTGATCACCAACCACCAACCGCTGACCGCTGACCCGTGCCCCAGGTGCTGCGACTGGAGGGGAACCAGCTGGAAGAGGTGCCCAGCACGGCGCTGACTGGGCCCAGGGCGCTCACAGTCCTCACGCTCCAGGAGAACCACATCGGTGAGTACGATCAGCCCAGAATTATAAATAGATTTACTTTTATAACTATACAAGTTCGTGGATATCATTTCCAGTGCTCACCCCTCGTCGAGCAATAGAAAGTAAAACGTGCATGCTTTGCTTTTTGTTTGAGCACATAGACGCGGACTCTTGGTGCAGCTATCGAAAGTAAAACGTGCATGCTTTACTTTTCGTTTGAGCACATGCCATTAAGTGCAGCTATCAATATTGAAGGATACATCTGCAGCCTGCAGGATCCACTCGAATCCACTCGAAAGAATGCTAACTCGTCGTCTCTTCCAACTGAATCTGAAGGTCACGTTCCTCGAAGTGCTGTCGAACAGCAATGACTCTCTCACGATCTGTAGTACTCAGTAAGTCGCGTCGCTTCCACGGCAGTCATGCAGCTTGTAAAGAACTGCCGTATGCTTGCGATTGAGCTCCGAAAAACCTGTTGCAAACTGTCATGGGTGGAGCTTACTGGAAAAAAGGTAATTGGACAGGGACTGCCAGTGCTAGCTGCATTGCATTCCCACAAAAGATGGCCAGTGTTGAACAATATGCGCGATGAGAGAGAATGTCATGGTTCTGAGCTCTGTGGGATGGTATGTACTTGCTTTTAGTTCTAGAAACATGTTAGCAAATGACGAAATTACCCATCACTGACTCTCTTTTCTCTACTCTCTTTTATTTTGCTCACCACATTCCTTCTGTAACTTCTCACCTCACCTCACCTCTGAAAACTATATCTCTGCCCTGCACTTCGTCACAGTGTGCATCACGTGACAGCGCGTCACGGCGGGCGGCGCGTCACGTGACCCTGCGAACGGTGCGTGACGGCGCACGGAGCGTTGCGGCCGCGGGGCAGCCCCGGCGCCGAGCTGCACTAGCTGCTCATAACACACGTACGGTCTCAGCATGGCACGACGCGGCAGCGTCGGTGGCGGGCCAGGCCGGGATCGCCGCCGACGACCGTCGAACGACAGAGGGCTAGTCGACGACGGGCTGCCGTCGAGCGACAGACGACGGGTGACGAACGGTGCCAGGCCTCCGTCAGGTCACCTCGCGAGGATTGGGAAATTCTTCTGTCGGTCCCGAGCTGGCGGCAATTTCACGCCTCATAAGACCGACTTCAGTAGGCCAAAAGGCACAGTTCGTCAGCTGTGACGGTTGAACTTGCCGGTCCACCCGAAATCGGTCAATCGTATTTGAATATTTCTAGTGGAGAGCCAAATCCATGTTTTGTGGGAAATTAATCTAGTTTTATAAGAAATAGCTGGAGAGATATATGAAAAATTAAAGAAAAATCCCAGGCAACTTGTCTGCTTCAGGCAAGCAGCTCCTACGCTTACAGTAAAGTAACGTTGGGAAAGTATGCGATGCGAAATGATCCAGTTTGCTCCCGTCACGCCACAAACTTACCTACATTTAAACAATCATCTCCGGTAGCCGACCATGGCGACATATTTACGCTAGGAATGCCTGACGTTTTCTGTAACGGCCCTTAGCGAGAGCGGTCATGGTGTGTCGTTTCGGGAACTAGCGAATGAAGTTTAGTACCGCCGTTCACCGGTGGATGGCGCTAGCTGGTAGTTTCGGCGAAAACTCCATCTGAGATGTTTGAAGGCTTCCCTTAATCCCTTGTTCAAACATGGACCCCGTCAGCCCCGGCAGAGGTATTTGTCCAGTGTACACCGCACCTGAGGACGGGTCAGCTGAGGGAGGGGAGTCACTATTGTGGTCTGAGGAATGCCGCGCCGGTCGGGGGACGGGGTCGGGAGGAGGGGGAGAGAGGCAGCGCCGTTCTTGCGGTGACGGGCTGGCTTGTCGCCTCAGCCTGGCATACGCTCAGTCGGCGAGGCGATGCGCATGACCCGGGAGCAGCTGAGAGTCCATGACTCCATATAGACAATTGGCTCGTTTGTAAGCACGAACACTTGGAATGTTGCTGGTGCAGAATTTAAGCATAGGGACGATGTTTTTTTTGTGCCAAATTTTGTGTAGGTAGGTACATGTAAGGAATTTATAGAAATTTATTGTGACAGTTTCCAAAAAATCGGTCCAAGTTTTATAAGATATCGAGGTTTTAGTGACGTCATGATTTGAGTTTTCGTCTTTCGACAAAAACGACACATGTTTTAAAAAAAATCATGGGTATAAAATCACAGAATAGACATACAGACATGCCGTAAACGTCATTGGACTGCCAATGCCTTATACCATTAACAATCAAATTGCCATCTTCGATTTTTGATTACCTATCGTTCTATGGTTTCCAAAATCTTGAATGGAATCTTGGCAATCTCTTGTAGACTACTTTACGACCATGATGAATGCATTTCATAACCCGCACTCCGCTGGGGGTCCTGGAATTACATGCCCTGCTGGTGGGCGGGGGTGTTTGAACATTCCCTTTTAATTCGGCTCCCGGGCCATGTAGCGATACGGGGAAAGCGACGTTCGAAAAAGCGTAAGGAATAATGACGAAATTTATACTTAGGTCACTTTTTCGGTCAGGTCAAAGGTCAGGTCACCAGAGGTGTTTTGGACCCATGCTACTGAAAGCCCAATTTCATGTGTTTGATCTGACCTTGACCCGACCTGTGACCTTGAAATTCAACTTTCAGGTGCTCATCGTAAGTGTCTCGTCGCGTTCTTTCGTTTGCCTTCTCGTCCGTTTTGCTGCGTCTATTGGTTCTTGAGTCGGGTAGCAGCTCTATTGGTTCCCGAGTTGTGCGCCGCTTTTTGAAGAAAAAATGTTGAAATAATCGGCCCAGCCGTTCTCGAGATCTGGAAGCGCCCCCTGCACGTGCGCACGTGCACTGCACGTCGTGCAGTAGCACCTTAACCCTATTAGTGGCAGGCTTTTGGCTATCCCTATTAGTGGCAGGGGGGCTGTTTACGACCCCCCTTGATATCTCGAGATCTAACGGGCCGATTTTCATAATTCAAACGGCATTCGATTTCGCTCAACGTGATCTACATTTCTAAAAAATAGTAATTAAAAATGTCAATAGGGGGGGGGGGGTAGAGGGGGGTAAAAACGGGCAAATTGCAGATACATTTTAGACTGTTTATCACGGCCAGGTTTCTGAACCAATCTTATTGCAACTTTTGCCGATCGATAGAGAATGAACCAGAAATTCACATGGATCCTAAAAATATGCATTTTCAAAAATCATAGGCGGATACAGATCATTGAGATTGGGGGTACACAAAAAGTATAGTAGGTAAATAAGGTTTTTGTTGGTACTGTTTCTAAAAAGGGTGGTAATGGTCTTGTTATGTTACAATTTTCTTATGAGAGAACGACTACAATTGTATTGGTCATGCATAGGCGGTGTCAGGGCACCTATGTTGGGAGGTAAAACATAACCCCCCTTTTTGGACGCCTGGATCCGCCTATTATAGCAAAAACGTGTCAAAAGAGGATGCACAATAACTTTGTATATGCTATCACATGATACCTTTCATTCACTGTTCGTAAAACTGGTGTATGCAGTTATAATACATCAGCATCGTGATCTTCGCCCACATGACTCGCTTCACGAATAGGACCCCCCAATTCCCAGTGCTCTGGAGCCGCCCCTGGTAAAGATATGAACTTGAAATTTTCAGGGAATGTGCCCAATTTAGTTTAAGGAAAAGTCAGACAATTTCAGCATCGTAGCTTCAGCGGTTTCGGAGATATTCCCGAAAAACCTGAGGGGTGGATGAAAACAACCCCCCTCCCCTACCACTAATAGTGTTAACCGCAACACATGGGAATGCATAGCCTGGTGGATGCCTACCTGTATGCCAAGTTTCAGCGAAATCGCCCCAGTAATTACCGAGTTATTGAAATGGGAACAAATTTGGCACCTCTTCTCTTTGTATTTTGCACGTGCAGTGGGGTCACTCACATAGATCAAGAGCATCCGACCTTTGGTAGAAGGGATGCAGCTACCCTACAAAAATTACCGCAAGACAATCGCTTAACCCATTAACGCCCGTAATTCCCCAGCGAACGCACACGAATGCCCATTTGCCGATTTAGAGGTAATGGTCCCCTAATGGTACCATGTGAGTTTGGTAAATGTGCGAAATCTAGAAATATCCTTTTTTGAAGTGGTACCTTTTGGTACCACCGGGCGTTAATGACATCAGTTTTTCGCAAAAACATGCATTTTAGCAGCATACAAGATATGTTTGCCAAGAAGACTTTGCAGCTCATTCGTGAAAATTAGAATATAAGACGACATACTGATCGGCAACATTATGGCAAACGCTCGCCGCTTATGTTTTTCAAGTTGTCTGATTATGACGTCATTACTGCATGCTATGCCTAATTGCCACAAACGTCAATGCTATTATTCATGCCTGGTGGTGGGTCAATCTAGTGAAGAACTGTACTGTTTCAAGCAAGGATGCGGAGTCGATGGTTTTTCAGTGACTGACTCTGACTCCAATTCAGACTTTTACATTGCAACTCCGACTCAGACTCAGACTCCAGGCATGATTGCCGACTCCGACCGACTCTAACTCCTACTCCATCTCCGCAGTCCTGGCATGTTTGCGGAGTCGCGGGATTTTCGGCGACTCGAACTCCAGCTCCGGCTTCCACAATCGACTCCGACTCTGACTCCGACTTCAGTTAGAGATATCGACTCCGACCGACTCCCGACTCCGATTCTGCAGCCCAGGTTTCAAGGCTTGTAGGGTTGTTTATTTTCCTAAGATGCACAAATATCTTTATACAAATGACAAAACTAACGGTTTTCTTAAAGCCATTACCAGCAACCACCACCCTACAATCTGTGTTAAAATTTCTTTCAAAATTATGAAAATAAACATGAAGCCCATTGTTCAAGATCCAGCACAGTCTGTAGTTACAGTTTGTGCACTGCAAGACACGCGCTATACCTACCAAATCTAATCCAGCAACCAACGAGACAGATCTCCAAAATGGACTTCAGCCGGATCGTGCAGTGCTGTTTGCGCTGAAGCACACGTTGCAGCAG